CTACTCCATTTCCAGGCTCATTTAAAATCGCATTTGTACTCGCATCTTCGTTTTGCGCCACAGATATCGCAGCAATTGCCGGCTGATTTTGAACTGCTTGCTCTAGCTGCTGTTGATTAGTCTCCTGCTGCGTATTGCTTGTTGCTTGCGTCGACGCCACGCTCGCATTGGTGAGCAGGAGGCTTAAGCCGATACATATCGTAACAAAATTGAATTTGTTGCGATCGGTAATCATTGCTGTCAGGGTATCTGTAAGGGAATAAATTGAAAAATTATTACCGATTAGGCTACTTAGAATCTATAAATTTATATAAAAAAAGTAAATATAGTAGGTAAAGAGTCATAAAGCCATGCAAATTTTCTCAACTGCAAGAATTTAGGCACTAACTTTGATGGTACAATGGGTGCAATCTAGACAGCGAAAAAGCTGGAGTATTTTCATTGGAAATGCATAGTTGTAAAGAGGCCGCTAGTGAATCAATATATGGTATTACATCTCATATACGGTAGCCAGTACTGATTTTAATTGAACTATGGGTGTTAATTCTGCTTTTTTATTTACCTGCCAAACGTGGCAGAGATCTGTAATAACACGAGATTTGTAAATCAACTCTGTGGTGGATCCTTCTGCATTCTTGCGATCATTCTTAACCAACCAACCAACCAACAAAAGCACACTAAGTTGCACGAATATTGCTTTTATTTTCATAAAACATGTTTACAAGAATTTTTCTTCAAATAAACATAATAGAATGAAGCTGAAAAAACGATTAGTAACCTTCCAAAAGAGGTTATTTATATTTCACTAGAAACTAAATTTAATGTTTTAATGGAACAAAATCATTAAACATTTTAACAGGGACGGTAATCATTATGAGTAAAATAATTTAAATCGGCATTTAATCATTATTTTATGATTTTTATTTTTTTCGCTGCAAAATATTAATTATTATTGATTTTTGTTTTTTCGCTCAACGGAAACAATTATTATTTGATTTTTATGTTTTCGATCGCAAATAATGATTATTTTATGATTTTTATTTTTTCGCTCAGAGATAATATTTGTTATTGAGTTTTTTTCTGCTATAAAATATCGAGTATCTATAAAATTGAAAGGCCATACAGTCGCAACTTGCTGAAATTTTGACCTGAAAATGTTCGGACTTATTCCTTTTATAGGGTGTCGCTACCTCTGAAAAGGATACGACGGAAATCATGCTGGTATAGCTTTTGAGTGTATTGAATGATCGTTCCTTGTACGCTTCCTACACTTTTTGTCCTCTATGAAACCCAATTTCAACGCAACTGCGCTTCTAGCAAAGGATGCCCTGTTAGCAGTGGTGGATCCAGCGGGGGGGTTTGGGGGTTAAACTTCGTCTCAGTCAGTAGCGGACCCCACGGGGGGGGTTTAATACATAGACGCCATATTATACATACAAATGCGCCATATTAAAACANTTTTGGGGGTTAAACTTCGTCTCAGTCAGTAGCGGACCCCACGGGGGGGTTTTAATACATAGACGCCATATTATACATACAAATGCGCCATATTAAAACACCCCCCGTGGGTCCGCCACTGAGTGACACGTAGTTGAACCCCCGAAAACCCCCGGGGATTTCATATTTGATGCTCACCCTTGCCAATTTTTAGGCTACGCTCTATTTCCGCCAACAACACTCCCAACAAAGAGATTGCGCAATTTCTTTCACTGGCACTCGCATAAAAGCGTATTTTAAATTGATTACATCTTTACAACTTTGCCGAACGTGCACGCGTTTGGCAAAAGCGCCATGTGGCGCCAAGCCGCGCGTCACGGTAGAGCACCACACGTTGTCGCTCACATACACACACACACAAACACAGAAGGAACTGCCCACTTTTTATTCAGATGTCACGGACAAAGTCTTACATATCGATAAAGTGAGCAGCCAAAGTCATGGACTCGTTTGAGAAAATGATACTTATTTTGAATTACTGGTACGCTGCAGATGTGAATTTGTATTTGTGTGCGTATGTATGTGAACTTGGTGAATCTGCACGCTTATCGGTAACGTATGTATACAGTTTTTTTGTTGCAATTCTTGTCAGGATCCACATGTATGACAACTTTATTAAAATTTATTACGATACCGTAAATTGCCCTGTAGGAGGAGCAGCGAAAGAGCAGCAGGAGGAAGCTGCATGAAAGGGTAGACAAGCAACGGAAGGCTGGTACGGAGGCTGATCCGTGTATAAGCGCAATCATATACATACATACACATGTACATATACATAGTTTGACTGAGTTCGCGCCACACACGGTTTATTGCAGAAGATGCGTATCTCATTTTGATTTTCTCATTCGTTTATTGCGAAAAATTGTAAGTAAATATTATAATCAGTTGTACCGCATGCATGTAAGCAAGTTGTTGTAGTTGATGTTGTTGGCGGCCAAGAAGAGCTAATGCTGGGAATGAAACTAAAGAAGCGCAAATAGGCATTTGGTTGGTTTGTCCATTGAGTACATCATAAAGAAAGGAACGAAGAAAGAAAAAAAAGAAAAATTATGCGAATTCGACTTAAAAGCTACCGCAAGCATCTTCGCAATGAAAGGCAGATGTACATTTGTATGTAGCATTTCGCCGTTGGTGGTGACTGCACTCACGGTATTCATTGGTCAGCTTATTCTTCCGTCACTGGAGTTTTATGCGAAGTTTATTGTATTTTGACCAATAAACCATTTGTAGATTTGAGTTTCGAAAATGTTTGGAATGAGTGAGTCAGTTAACCACCATGACTAATGGCGATGAATGTGTGAAGTATTTTGGGATAGGTAAGGAAGGCGCCTATGAATCCTGTGTCTGTTAAACCAACTTTTGAAAAATTACTTTTCGTAGAAATGGTATGGAATTCTTGAAAATCAATATGTTTCGATAGGAAAACTCTGTTTCTCTTCAGGATACTTTCAGTAATAATATCAAATTGTTTATATAAAATTTTTTTAGTACTAACGATTTGTTATTGGTCCCCTCATTACGTTTTCGGTTTTTTCGACTTTATTTGTGATTTGATTCGTCAACAAAATAAAAAATTATTTTTATTTTTGATTTGATTGTGAACCAAGTAAAAAGTAAAAAATATTAAAAATAAAATGTTAAGCCACAATAACATTTATAAAAAAAATTTATTTATTTGTTTTTCGACTATTTCGGAATTTTCGAGACTACTTCGAGATTTCCAGGTTTTTCAGGATTCTCCGGACTATACGGAAATTTCCGGTATTTTTGTGACTTTGGGGATTCTGGAGACTATATATGGGTTCTTCGGGACTACTTTGGGACTTTTTGGATTACTACCTGATTTTAGGGACTATTTCAGAACTTTCGTTATATATATACATACTATTAAGTCTCAAAGAAATCGAAATAGTACCTAGAATCCTAAAAATCTCGAAAGCCGTCTCGAAAATAACAAAACAGTCCCGAGAATCCCGAAAATCTCGAAGTAGTCTCGAAGATCCCTAAGTAGTTCCGAAGATCCCGAAATATAATAATTAACTATCACAATACTATATATATAAATCACAATTACTGATGCTCTTTAGCAAGAAGAATGAACTTAAAAGATGCAGATCTTGTCTTTCCACTCAACCTAAACGAAATGATAGCAGTGATCGCTAAAAAACAAGACCAGCATGACCGATGGGATATATAACGAGTGGTCCAAAGCCGGAGGGTAGAACCTAGTAGGACGTATCAATCAATTTTTCTTTTTTGTTGGGAGCAACATTTGGCTTCGCACAATGTGGATACGACCTCTTCGAGACAACTTCTCTGACCGAGAAAAATTGATGTCCTACAATGCTGCCGATACGCGAAAATTCCTTTCGGTTTGCTGGGTTATAACAGTACGGCATCTTTATGTCGCTGGCGCTCATTCATCTACAATTCGTGCACTTCATTTGTTATACAGGTGGGCTGCTGTGGTTATGCTGTCAAGTCATTTCAGCGAACAATTCATTCTGTTTCCTGCTATGCTTTAAACGTTTTTTTGTTTGCGTTTTTACTTTTGGCGATACTCGCTTTTTAATTTTGTTTATTTTTATTTTTTGATTTTTTAGTTAGTGGCGTTTAAATTTTTTTCTCACCCACATTGTGTGTGGTTTTATGCGAAATTTTCGTCGGTGTTGCTTTATAAATTCACTTTTCAATTTTTCAGCCTTCTTATTTTGCTGTCTGTCCTTTTTTTGTATATTTATTTTGAATTTTTAATCAAGATCAAGTATGGCCCGCATATCCTTAGGGCGAACAGTGAGCGCGCATTGCAGCGATTATTGCGGCGGCGGCATTCAGTAATGCGAATGTATGTGTGGCAGTTTTATATGCGCCTTGCAGGAAAATTTATTGAATTTAAAATGAGTCGCTGGACTGTTAAGAATTTTTTTCATATTATATTTATTCGATGCTTTTATGTTTGAACCCGCTGTCTGAAAACTTTTCTTCACACATCCGTCTGCTTCTTAGTTCACGAAAATCTACTTCATTGGGGGATCCAGCATACTTCTGTGGAATTTTATTAAAATAATTTAAGTGACTTTAGAAAGTTTGCATTTTAATTAACAATTCAATAAAATTAATAGGTTTCCCTTGAAATTTTTTTATATTTGCATTAAGTTTGTATTAAAAAAACATTTTAAACTACACCAATGGCTAGTTAATCGCTTAAAATATTTTGTAGGCACCCAATGAAATATTGCTTTAAAGGGAAAATGGCCAGTCTAGAGATAGGACTATCGCAGAGTTTAGAGGGGGCATCTTACGTCAGCATACTTAGCTAAGAAGTCTGGAAGTCTGTGAGATTCTCCTAATAAGAGCTAATGAAAGAAGACACCGAATCCTGTTCCGGTGTCCATTATGCATCCGTCTGTAAAAATTTGTCAGATTTACTGTCACTAGCCAGAAAATTTGCGACACGAGCCTGTTCCATAGTTTCGATTTTTTCCGACAGGGCACTCATACCTTTGTGCTCCTAGCGCCACACGCATGATTCTTTCGTCTTCTTCTTTTTTTTTTATTTGACTCATTGCTGTTGTAATTTTTTCTGGTTGAAAGTGAAAATGGTCACGGCAAACATTTCATTTTTAGCTCATCGTTTCCCAAATAATTCGATGGGCCGCCACCGCTACTCATCATGTTCCTGGTACGCTGTTGTTTGTTTTTTTTTAGGTCAGCATAGATTTGTCTTCAACTGCAGACCAGTCGCAGCATGG